TAATGCTGAGATCAATGTTCCAGGTACATTATTTTCGATGTAAATAAGAGGATATATAATTTAACGTGTTGGAAATGTTATAATAGAGGTTTGAAAAGGGTTGAGATTATCCGAGCGGAGGGTTAAATTCAGTCAGTATCCTACTCGTATAACTTTCGGAATAAACAACTTGTGTTTTGCACACGCGTATTGTACTCTCTCCGTTCGAGTCGCAGCTCGAATTCCATCAAGGTACAATTAGCATACAGCAACGAAGCGTGCGTGACGGTAAGAGGCGCTGAATGGACCGCGGTGTTGTAGATAATTTTCGCGGTGCGACGTATGGCAATCGCGCTGTGTCGAAACTTCGGCCAGTTGCGAAGTTATATTAAACGTTCCAACAGGGTGTACGTATATTCATATGTCTCTGCCTCGTCCATGACGTTGCGGACGTTGCACCCTTTGTGCCCGGCAAGTGCCAGTTTCGTGCGTTATTATTTGTGGTCCAGTATATGTTGCTTTATACTGTGGAATTATCGCGAGAAAGTCGACAGAGGGAGAGGGAGAAGTGAGGAGGAGAGAAGTTATGCATAATCAATTAAATTCAGATGGAAATTTGCGCGCGTTTTTATAAAATATGAAGAAAGTTAACAAAAAAGTCACCGATACTGACATAGTTCTAAAGAGATTTCCTTATTTCTTGTAAACTAACTCTATTACGCTTTATTAATTCTACTAATAAAAATACAATCTATATTTTCAGATAGAACAGAGAGTTCAAAAAGAATTCGTATGTCATTAATTCTGAGTTCATTTTTAAATACAAAAAGAATTTTTTTCAGAACTTTTCAAGTAAAAGAATTCTTTTGCATTTAAAAATAGACTTAAAATTTATGATACAATTGAATTCTTTTTGAACTCTCTTTACTATTTAAGTTCAGATAACTAAAGAATTAAAAACTCATAATTTTCATGCATTGGTGGCTTGTTTTTGTAAAAAATTAGCTAAAACTATTTTGCAAATGCAGAAATAAAATTCTTATAATTTTCTCTTGCAAATTGCGTAGTTTAAATAATAGTGGCTATATTATAAACTCTATAAAAAGAAACTGCGCATTACACATTTACATTTTGCATCATAAAATATGCATACAAATCGATAAAAAATATTTTATATCCGAGTGAAAAGATTTTAGAAAATCTTATATAGTACATTCACTTATAGATATTTTATACAGATGACTTCTGTAAAAGGAAAAGAATAGAAATACATGGCATTATTGTTTAATGTGTCTATCACTTTTGAAACTTATTTTGTCAGACGTTTATTTTTACTTATCTTATGAAAAAGTCAATTATTGCACAATTGCAAATAGTATTATAAAAATTGCTATATTATTTGATGAAGAAGATGCTTTCTAGTATGTATTTCTAAAGTTTTCTTTTTAGCTTTTACTTAAAGAAATATTATCCAAAAACAAAATGATATATCGGTATCGGTGACCTTCCTCTACATAACAGTTCCAATAAAAAGAAGTTATTATTACATATAATATATAGCAGAGAAAGTACATATTACTGCTTAACAAATATTTTCAAATTGCAAAGAATTCTAATCTTTATTACTATAAATGCTGACAATGCAATGCGTTTTTGTACGATTCAGCGTAACTGTTATCGTCATATAAGAGTATCAAGTTCACGAAATAGTAGCAACTTCGTAGCTACTGTAGTCAAAATTAAATGCAAATATCGCAAAGTCGAGGCAACACTGCGCAAAGTCTTGGACTTGCACCTGCCTTTACGCAACACGCGGTGCCTTCCAAGACGAGTTTCTCTCGCAATCGGAAATAAGTACGAAACAAAGCGACGGCTATCGTGCGGTTCACAAAGTATTACGACTATCCCAAGTGCGCTGTTTAAAAACTTTCGCGCATTATCTGCATATGTTGCATTGACCATATCCACCGCAGCGGTTCTGTAACGGCTGCATACATTGTGATGATATTCGCTGATTTATTTCACCCACGAAATATTATACAACGCGCGAAATACGTTTCTAATATACCATCACGCAATGTGAAAAATTTATTTAATCTAAAAGAATAAAAATGTTTTGAAAAAAAGGAATATTGGAGACCAGAGTATGGGCGTGAAATATTAAAGATTTATAAGAGAAAATTTTAATAATATTAAGTTAATATAATAATATTGGTAGATTATTTCATATCTGTAAAAAATTTAATAAAGTATGATTTTATTTCCGTAATTGAATATACTGTATTATAAAGTTTTATATTTTTTTTTATTTAAATTAATATAATTAAATATTATACAACTAGATCTTTACTTTTTACTTCTATTCTTCTATATTGGATACATTTCATGTCGAATAATTTAAACAGAATCACTGCTTTACTATGCAAACGGACGTTTTGCCCTGCGGGTAGATTTAACCGACGAATAAATATGTTACTCATCTAGCGAACACCTTGGCATAACGAACGAGACGGTTCAGCGAGAGAGGGGAAGAAGTCCATCAGGAAAATTGAACAAAACTCAAATTGATCCGGAACTCGCGGATCCCCGTGGCTTTTCGTCGAAGCTTCCGCTTGCTGTTCCCGACAGTAATTAAATAAGCCGAGTTATACGGAGAAGGAAAGTTCGCGAAATTCGCGAACGCGCCGCGTGTACGTTAAAACCGTCCGGCGTCGGGAAGTTTGCGAACAAACGTTATTGCACGACAAAGGCATCGCTAGCGATATCATTTGCTATCATATTTATAAAATCTCATCATACGAGAAACTATCGCTCTTGAATTATGAAGAAAGAGACATGAAGAGAATAACATAAGAGCTAGGCAGAATTAAAGAATTTAATTATATATATCTATAATAAATATATATAGATATAACTTTATAATGATGTAAAACTATCAAAGTATTAAATTAAATTACGAGTAATTAAATTATCATATTAAATTACGAATAAGCTATTACTATATTTATACATATACCATTAAAATTTAGTTCCTAAAAAATTTCTTATTTATAATTGTCTAGAATTTTTTAAATTATTTATTATACCCTTTTGTTGTTTAAGAAAACAACTATTCCAGTTTTATTCATAAATTTGTATAAAAATAATGTATGATATAATCTAGGTAAGAGATGGTTCACTAGGTCAAGAAAATCCTTTAATTTATGTGGCAATAGCTTTTTCTCTCTTGGCTTGAATAGAAATTATTTTTTCTTTTCCTGTTGAGAAAATTTTTATCTATACTACTTTTCCCATCGGAGTTATTCATAGCGTTTATGAAGTTAAGGTGAATTATTTTGTTCTAAAATCGATCTCTTTCATAAATTTTGCAATATGAAAGTTATTGAAGAAAATATATGGTATTATTAGATGAATTATATTTGAAAAATATGTGACAAAAATATTTGTTTGTTTATCCATTCGAGATACTTTTATGACATATTAATATGTCAAAATTAAAATAATTTTTTAACTATTAAATATTAATGTTATTTAATAAATAAAGTTTATATATAATATATATATACATATATATAAAGCTAATATAATAGTAAATAAATTCAGATGAGAAATTCCAGATATTTTATTAATAATGTTTTTATAATAAAATTATAAAAACGTTATCAATAAAATGTTAAAAAAAAAAATATAATAATTATACGACAATATGATAATATAAATATAATACAATAAACAAATTATATTAGCGCAACAACGGGATCCATGTACTACTCAATATTTATTTGATGAAAGAACACGAATTAATAAATTTAACAACTCATAAGTACAACAAGAAGAACATATAGAAGAGCTTCGTAATTTTTAACCGCATAACATGTTTTTATGCAATAATGTTCTAAAATAACTCTAAAATATCTTATTTATTATTTGTAATATAAGTCTCTGAGAGAGGATTTTTTTACTTTGAGTTAATTACCCCGCATCGATCGAATATATAATGGATTTAAACAATATTACAACAAGATAAGAACAAAACACAAAGATTTAAAAATATAGTATATCTAGTATAATACAATTATAAAATCTTAACGTATTTAAAATAAAAAATTTTAATGTATAACATATATCAATTTCAAGTATTTTTATGCGCGTATTGAAAGTTTTCGAAACTGCAGATTGTATTATTGTATATCTTTGAAAAAATAAAACATATTCGACTAAAAAAATTTTTATTTATGTCGTCGATCGATGCGACAATGTGTTCACATCCTCCCTATGGATGGAAGAAAGGAATGTTTTTCTCTAAAGAGCAGCCTCGTGATGGAGAAACGATATGCCGTTACGTATCGACGTGCTTGTAATGGAGCTGTCGAGCAAATTTTCTGTGATACAGAGCCGGAGGCGCGCGTCGTATCGCATCGACTTTAAATACAATGAAAATCGACCCTTATCGCCTCGCCGTGTCGCCTCGATGCTTTGAGGGCGATCAGTTGTTCATTATTCGCACTTAAATCCATCCAAGAAAGAGAGAAAATTGAAAAAAAACTATACATTATTGTTTTAGAAAAAGTCTCTTATGCAAGAGAAGAGAGTATAAAAGAAACTATACATAAAATTGTTATATATCAGTAAAAAGAATAATACATATATTACTGAAATATAATACATATTACTAAAATCTTCTGAAATAATCTCATTACGAAATAATTTCATTGTTAATTGAGTTGCATCGCAATATTTAAGCAAAACATTCAATTTTCTGTTTCAGGATCAGAATGCGCCAATTTCTGTACAAGTCCTTCATCCTCGAATTGCTGCTGCTGACAATCTTGTTCGCGTCGTCAGGTTTGGCGATGTCGAAGACACGCGACAAAAAGAAAAACATTAAGGAGACGAAGGAGGTGAACATCTGCGACATTCAGGGCCAGCAGGCACCGATCTATTGCTACTGCCACGATGGCCTGCATAATTCCACCGTCGTCAGTTGCTTGGTATTGAGCAAATTCGAACGGAACGATCCCATGTGGAATTATTTCAAATCGCAAAACCAGCTCGAAAAATTGACGTTCACGGTGCGTCAGATCGACAGTCTAGATTACGTACCCAGTCATTTGTTGCGCAATCTGAAGAATTTGCGCATAATCGTATTCCAGCATGGAAAGTTCCACAAGCTTGCCAGTTACACTTTTAGCAATCTCAACAGTATTATCGAGATCAATCTCAGCGGCAACATGATTGTCGAACTGAGCAATTATACCTTTGAGAATATGCAAAATCTCACTTTCATAAATCTCGACTATAATCGCATCTTCGAGATTATTAGGTATGGATAACCGATAAATGATAGTGAATTATATATCATTAAAATCGAGTATTATCATTATAACTTTTATCGACTTTGTTAACCTAATGAATATAATCAGATTATTTACAACTCGTTCTTAAATTTGCGTAATTTATTTTTTATTTTTATCAGTATTCATGTTATATATTATTTGGGCTATTTGCATTACTTAATATATTGAGAAAATATAATACGTAAACATAAAAAAAGATCTTTTAAAAAATATTTTACAAAATATACTTTACTACATTATTGTAATAATAGTAAATTGAAAATTATAAACTTTGTATATTGCAAATAGCACAAATAATTAATTCAGAATACTGATTAATGTGAATAAAAAATTAATATAAATAGAAAATCAAGTTTTATTTAATTAACAAACGCAGTAAAAAATGTGTGGTATACACGGTTTTGAAAACTTGTTACAGAGACACGTTTGTAAACTTGCCGAACTTGCGCAAGTTGAATCTGAATCACAACAACATTAGCATTGTTCATGACAAGGCGTTTAAGCTCCTAGGCTCGCTGCAGGAACTTGAACTGAGCAACAACCAGATCAGTATTATCACGCGCGACATGTTTTACGGTCTGCGCAATCTACATCGTCTCAATCTACGCGGCAATAGGATTAGCTTGATCGGCGAACGTAGCTTCGTCGAGATGTCGGAACTAGCCGAACTCGAACTCGATCAAAATCAGATCATGTACATATCCGAAAGAGCATTTGACAGCATGCGCAATCTCCAGAGGTTGCAACTTAATGATAATCAACTAACGTCGTTGCTGCCAAATTTCTTGGCTGGTGCACCTGGTATTAACTTTTTGGATCTGAGAGATAACTTACTAAAGACTGTGACCTTTGACAACGTGAAACCAATTATGACCAATCTCTACGAAATTAATGGCCATTTATACTTAAGTGGTGAGTACTCCGATTATTATTTTTAATAGAATTATAATATAGAATTGATATGTGAAAGTCTTGAAAGAAACTGTTTAGAAAATTATTAAACTTATTATCCGCTAAAAGAAATAATTTTAAATAAAAATTAGGTTAAATATCTCGCAAGTAAATTTGAGAAACAATAAAAGATTATAATGCATTAAATTAAGAGAGACAGTTATTCAAATTGTTGCGGATGTTAAATTACCTGCGGTGATTTGAAGCAACATTAATGATCAAAGTAGCAAGATTTAACTGATCAAAGCGCATCATGCTATTTGCGTAGAAAACAATCTGATCTGCGACTGTAAACTCACATGGATCTGGGGCTTGCGGAACGAGACGAAGAACACGAAACTGAGGGATGCCCTGGAGGAGCTGACTTGCTTCCTTGAAAGCAATAATGCAACGCAGAAGATCAACAGAGAAGACCTAGGGAGAAATCAGCCGCCAGAGATTTCCGGTAAGTTTTGCTTCATGCGTGAATACGCGCTAGTATTACGAATGCCTTTTGGCGAAATTTATTTCAGCTTTATGTTAAAAATGTACTCAATGTAGAAACATAAGGCTATTCTATTTGCTACATAATATATAAATAGGCACACAAATTATTAATTTAATTTCATCTATACTTACCCCAACAAAAGTTAAAAATAAAATATTAAGTAAAACAGAGTCCAGAATTGAACATAAGACGTTTTATAAGACATCTTTTAGACGTCTTGTAGGTAGTTCCCGCAAAAGAGTTTGAGATGTGTTATAAAAGACGTTTTATGTGTTCCAAATTTAACCTTCTTCTCCAAATTGTTTTCTGGGTAATTATTTCTTTTTGTACGTATAAACTGTTTTATATATATGATGTAGGTATATTTTATAACATTGGCAAAATGTATTTAAAAACTGAAAGATATTTATAAAAATATTTCATAATTAATTATAATAATCAAGGTATACATACACGTTAAACAAAAATAGAATTCTAAAAACAGAAAGAGAGAGAGAGAGAGAGAGAGAGAGAGAGAGAGAGAGAGAGAGAAGGACACATTTTCTTCGATATAACATTTGATATTTCTTATTTTTTAAACGGAATTTTATTATATTGTATTACAGACGAATACGGCGACAATAATTCGAGAGATTATGATAACGAGGACGACACTGAGGCTGAGAGCGGTAGTTATTTCGATGAACCTGACGATGAAAATTCATCGAATTTTCGTACCAAGGTAAGAGTTCTTCGGTTTTTTAATTGCACATAAATAATAGTATACATAATGAGGTTTTTCGAAATTTCTCTTGCAACAATATTATAAATATTGTTTGATCAAATTAATTTCTTATATTAATGTTTTAATTGCTAATCTTCATCACTATTAAAACGTAATTTTAATTTTATACCTTCACACATATATTCAGAAAAAATTAACACTAAAAGATATATATAGTATATATATAATTAAAAATAAAAAGAAAAATACACGGTACATAAAATACCATTTTATATCTATGTATAATTTCTTAACTTTCTGTATGTATATTACATTTAAAAAAATATCTACAGCACCAAGTTCTGCTTATATTTAGAAAACGAAAAAAATTCTATAAATTTAGAATCAGATATCATAAAATAATATGATAAAAGTAACTGTAACTTTTTTTTCACATTGCTAATTTAATTAACCTACTATTGCATATGTACGAATATATATTATAAAAATATAATATAAATCTACCTTTCATTTGATCGAATTACATCAAAACTTTTTTAATTCATTGCGTAATTCTACGTAGACCATTTTGATTTTAATTTGCAGAATAATCGTGAGGATAAGAAGTGCTGTATAAAACATCTATTCGAATTGAAGGTAGAAGAGCTGCCATGCCCGCAGCTTTCGCGCGAGGATTTGATGGCCTCCGAACAGCCATCCAGCCGCCATGAAAACGCCCGCGTAGGCTCCAGCTGGTTCAGCTCTGGTTCGATCTCGGTTCAGGCTGGTCAGTCCGTCCTCGTTGCCTCATTGCTATTGCTAGCTATACTTTTTTTCACGTAGAAGCGGCTAAGCGTTCAAAACTAAAGCGATATAAACGCCATTTGGCGTCCCGATATGCTCGAGTGAGCGAATGGAAAATCGTACACATAAACGAAACGGGACGTGAAAGAAAGTGTATGTTTATGCGTGTGTATTTGTGTGTGTGTGTGTGTGTGTGTGTGTGTGTGTGTGTGTGTGTGTGTGTG